TGCAACCTTCGCCTCTCGGGTTCAAGTGATCCGGGTAACTGGGATTACAGGCACATGCCACCACACTTGGCTAATTTTGTATTTTTAGTAGAGACGGGGTTTCACTGTGTTAGCCAGGATGATCTCGATCTCCTGACCTCGTGATCCGCCTGCCTCGGCTTCCCAAAGTGCTGGGATTATAGGCATGAGCCACCGCGCCCGGCCCAGAGCCCTTTTATCACAGCACTGAAATGCACTATTTTTTCCTTGGAATATTATGAATATCTCATCTACCACTTTCCCCCTCATCTCTTCTACTAATTATTTCTGAAAGCCAGATAAGTTACAACAGCAAACAATTCCTCTCTCTGCAGGAAGGGTAAACTGCATTAGCTTTGTCCTGCACTGAAGTGTAGCCATCAGTGCTATTAGCATCAAGTTTTCTAGCATGCAAAGTCTCCAGCTGTGGAGTGATTCAGTACCTACCCAATCTAATGCTTTTTTCTTTTGAGTGATGCTCAGATTCTCAAGGTATTCAAGCTCTAAGCTTGCTATATCTTTTCTGAAATTTAGCAAAACTGATCAAATATAGGAATAATTAATCTATTTGATCTTAAACTACACCTGCAGAGTTGGAATCTAAATCTGTTGTCTTCTGATGTCAGCTACATTTTGACTGTGGTTTTGGGTAAACGAGAAGGTGTGGATAAGTCTCCAGAGGGAGAATTCAAACACTGTCGGCCTGTGTAGTCATCTCACTGGCTATTTGTTCCTCATGCTCTGGCCTCTGCCACTATATCTTAGCCAGTGATGGCAGTCACGTTTTTTCAGTGGTCCCTGATTAACACAAGCAAGCTCTCTCCAGACACTTTTCATAACGCTAAGCCTCCTTTTTAGATGTTTCTTCTTAACTCATCTCTCTTCTTGCTAACTCTGCTTAGTATTTAACCCAAATCTTTCTACTTTTTCCCTTGGTATACCACTGTACCACTCTGTCACCTTAAATCTCCTTATTTAGCTACTTTAACTAGTTAAACTACTCCAATGTTTTTTTGTTGCTGCTGTTGTTGAGAAAGGGTTTCACTTCCATCACCCAGGCTGGAGTGCAATGGCGCAATCTCGACTCACTGCAACCTTCGCCTCTCGGGTTCAAGTGATTCCCCTGCCTCAGCCTCCTGAGTAGCTGGGACTACAGGTGCGCGCCACTATGCCCAGCTGATTTATATATATGTATTTTTTCTAGAGATGGGGTTTCGACATGTTGGCCAGGATGGTCGCAAACTCCTGGGCTCAAGTGATCCGCCTACCTCAGCCTCCCAAAGTGCTGAGATTACAGGCGTGAGCTACCACGCTCAGCCTCCAATAGTTTGAGTGTGTGTATTTCTGCCACACTTGACCTTGTATAATTGATTAGTGGATTATAATATGGCTTTTTACAACTGAATTCAATGAGGTCAAATCTATCTACAGACATTCCCTAGGGCTGAAAAGACTTTTTTTAAAATCATGAATTAGAAATACAGATACCCAGGCCAAAAGAATGTTAGAGGTGCAACCTTGTAAGTCTTTTTTCTTAGGGTCCCTAACAATTATACAAGTTAAAAGTCTCAAAGGTCACAATTTAGGCCGGGCGTGGTGGCTCACGCCTGTAATCCCAGCACTTTCGGAGGCTGAGCCGAGTGGATCGCCTGAGGTCAGGAATTTGAGATCAGCCTGACCAACATGGTGAAACCTCGTCTCTACTAATAATATAAAAATTGGTTGGGCCACCGTGGTGGCACGCTCCTGTAGTCCCAGCTACTCAGGAGACTGAGGCAGGAGAATTGCTTGAACCCAGGAAGTGGAGGCTGCAGTGAGCCGAGATCACGCCATTGCACTCCAGTCTGGGCGACAAGAGCAAAACTCTGTCTCCAAAAGAAAAAAAAAAAGTCACAATTTAAAGTTTCCCACATGCATCCATAATGGAATATAAGTCTTACCACAACGGAAATGAAGAATCTGAATGTCCTTTGTCCATTTAAGGGTATGAAGTGAGTCTGGGAAAGTATGGCTAAATTTGTTTTGTTGCACATATAAATCATTATAGAAGTAGGACCACACCTACCTGGAACGTTGTAATTTCTTCCCATAAATAAAAGCCATGATGGTATCAACTGCCTCTTCTTATAGCAAACATTATAAAGCCAAACTATAACACCAACTGTCCAGTTTCTATCACTACTAAGGAGGACCAACTTTATCAGGTTTTCGCCCCTTTTAGGCCTCTGTTATTTTTTTTACCTTTTCACTGACACATAAACAATATAAGATCTAATTAAAATGTTGATTTTAAAAAGAATAAAAGATGAAGTCCTATCCTAGTCTTTGGAATTCTTTCCTGAGGTGGTCAGGAGAAGCTGAGGAGCACCTCATCTGGTTATGTGGTGGCCACAGAAAACGTGAATGAGGAATCAAGGATGGAAAAGACCTACTATGAGACATGTAGTCCATTTTCACTGAGGTCACAAAATTATTCTCTTTAAGTTTTTTTTTTTTTTTTTTTTTTGAGACTGAGTTTTGCTCTTGTTGCCCAGGCTGGAGTGCAATGATGTGATCTCGGCTCACAGAAACCTCCACCTCCCAAGTTGAAGAGATTCTGCCTCAGCCTCCCCGGTAGCTGGGATTACACGCACCCGCCACCACGCCGAGATAATTGTTTTTTTTTCTTTTTAATTTGAGATGGAGTCTCACTCTGTCGGCTCACTGCAACCTCCACCCAAGCCGGATTCAAGCGATTCTCCTGCCTCAGCCTCCCAAGTAGCTGGGATTACAGGCGCCTACCACCATGCCTGGCTAGTTTTTGTATTTTTAGTAGAGACGGGGTTTTACCATCTTGGCCAGGCTGATCTTGAACCCCCGACCTCAAGTGATCCACCCACCTCGGCCTCCCAAAGTGCTGGGATTACACGTATGAGCCACCGCACCCGGCCCTGGGATGAATTATTTTAAAATGATGCTTTTCCCGATGGATTTGTCTTGATGCTAAATAAATGTGAATCTAAAGATGCTAAAGCTACTCAACGTTAACCCAGCATAGAACAATTTCATTTCTCTCAATCTGCTTAGAATGAGATTCCTATCAGTCACTTTTGTCCTGCTTTTTATCTCAAGGTAACTTAAGTTTAATGTAACATTTCTTAAATATTTTCTTAGGGTCACCTTTATTTTTGGGGTCGGCCTGAAACCTATGTTTAAGACTAAATTTAAGTCTTCAATGAACACACAAATGTTAGTATTTTCAAAACAGGGACATAACCTCATTCTAGGAATGAAAACATTGAGCAGCAATAACAAACACATAGGCATATTAACTTCTCTCTGACTGTACCAGAGATCATCCAAAATTCCTATACTTTCTCCCACTGAATCTGGAAACTGACTGCCATAGCTGGATCAGTAGTTGTCATAAAACACATCAAATCCTTACCTTTACATCAGCAATGAGAGCATCTTCATCTTCTATCCCTGTGGGGACACATTTCTTGTGCAGTGGCAGAGACTCCAACTTATCTACAAGGCAGCGAAGGCCTTCAAGCTCAAAATGGGTCAGATGCACTTGCCTGTCCTTTCGGGGAGCACACTGGGGATCCCACACTTGTCCATTGTGGGATCCCCGGCTAGAGTCAGAAGATGAGTCCCCAGACAAAGTTTTCTTCAGACTTGGAAGACTTCGGCAGGTTTTGCCCAGTCCATCATAATCCAGGTTTCTTTTTAATTTGAGATGGAGTCTCACTCTGTCACCCAGACCCAGGCTGGAGTGCAGTGGCGCCATCTCGGCTCACTGAAAGCCCTGCCTACTTTCTTTCTTTATGAGACAAGGTCTCACTCTTTTGCCCAGGCTGGAGTGCAGTAGTGAGATCGCAGCTCACTGAAGCCTCAACTTGACCAACTCAAGTGATCCTCCCACCTCCACACCTGGCTAATTTTGTATTTTTGTAGAGATGAGGTTTCGCCACATTGCCCAGGCTGGTCTCAAGTGATCTGCCTGCCTCTGCCACCTAAAGCACTGGGACAAGAGGTGTGAGCCACTGGGCTCTGCCTAAGTCAGTACTTTTTAATGTCCTGCTTTTTCACTTAATCCCCTTCCAACTCTATATTCTATGACTTGTTCTTCAACACTGTAGAACTTAACCTTTAAGAATCTTCAAAGCCCCCCCCCCTTTTTTTTTTTGAGACGAAGTCTCGCTCTGTCGCCTAGGCTGGAGTGCAGTGGCGCGATCTTGGCTCACTGCAAGCTCTGCCTCCTG